GGGGGGGCACTGATAAAGGAATTAATTTCACAAATGCATGAAGATAAAGCTATATATATATATTTACAATTGCGTGGCAATCCTACTATGTAACCCATGAAAACTTTGTTGGCAGTTCACCAGGCTATTAACTGCCAACCGACTAGCATCTGCGGGAAAAAAGAAATGGGCGTTCTCGACGACTGCCATGCTGTTTTTCCTTCTAAGCGAAGCCATAAAACTTGTTCCGTCGTAATAATGTTGACATACGATCAATATATTTCACAACAATATTTACCACAAGGTTGTATTGGATGAGCAAGGACACTTCTTTACCACAGAATGACTCTTGCAGTTGCTGAACTAGGACAAAATGGTGACCTTTGAACACTAGGATATGACGTTATAAGACACTGGAAGTTTGACATCGCATTTGACTTTTGGCGCCATTTTTTTAGAAATTGCCCATTGCGATGGAGGAAAAACGCAAACAACTGCATTGACATTATTTAAATTGTAAATATAAGCATTGAACTGCTTTAAGTTGGCATTCATATTGACTATGAATGCCAACTTAGGACATTTTTTCAAGATTCAAAGGGAAATTCAACATGAAGCGCTAATGCGCTTCATTAAATTTCCCTTCGTCCAGTTGGCATTCATATTGACTATGAATGCCAACTGAAAGCAGTTCACTGCTTAAATATCATCTTCATGAGGGTATGATAAAGAAAGGAGGCAAACGGCAATATGTATTGTTTCGATATATTTATTACATGAATGTTTGATGCAACTGTAAATAATACCATACCTATTACAATGCGAGATAGAGCCAACGTCAATGTTGAGGAAGTTGGTTGAGTAGGCGGGGTACTTCGCTGTTAGTGTGGATACCGAAAGGTATGCAGGGCGATTGAATAAAAAGTTGCATATAAATCCAGGTAGGTTTCAATCACAACACGCTCAAGCGTTACCAATGCGTGGGTTTTTATTACGGTCAACTAGTTTCGACTCTATGTGCGAGTCTTCATCAGGACATTTTTTCAAGATATTTCAGCCCCTGAAGTACTAAAAATGGGGTGCAGTTTTACATTGTTAGTTATTATCATCAGGTCTTCTCTGTTAATCTCGGACACGGCAGAGGAAAGCAGACAAGTTATGTTTGCAAAATTTGCAAACAGGCATACGGCAGGAGAGAACATTGTAAACGCCACCAACAGAATGAACACCCCTTATATAAAATCGAACCAGAAGTGAGGGAAGAAACAACTAAGGACTAAGCCGCGGTGCACAATAAATGGCACAAACCGGCGGAAGCCTTAACCAAAAAACAATTGGACAATGTAAAATTCAAAGTACGACCGGCCACCGGAATAACAACTTCGGGACCGGCATCTACAATCAGACCAATCATGGAGGAAACAATGGACACTCTCAAAGAAGACCTGATGATAAGTGACACCACTTCATCGTCAGACACTTCAAGTGAGGGCGGAAGAGAAAAACAGCCAACAAATGTGTCGCTGTCAAGCGGCACATGGTGCCAGGATGAACTAAATTAATCAAACAAACACTCTACGAATATATAACAAAAACACTATAATATTATGCATGTTTATTGCATTCATAAATATCATAAAATCCTCTACGGAAATACCAATATATATAAAACTACATGTGAACAATAAGTTTGAATTTCAGAGAAAGACATTTTTAATAATCACAGCATATCTATAAAGTTAGAACATCTAAGAAGGGCTCACCCGCCCTTCACTATTGTGTATTATCTATCTATTGATGACGTCGTGTAATAACTAACAATGTCATGATATTAAAGCCCACCAAGTTTCAAAAAGATCTGTCCAAAACTGTAGATCTCTGGACAAGATTGAAATACCGAAAACAACAAGGGGCAATAACTCCTTCAAAAATTGTCGAATCAAAATGCCGAACAGGAAAACACACCTACATGTCTTGATAATAAAGTCTACCATGTTTCAAAAAGATCAGTCGAAAACTGTAGGAGATCTCCGGACAAAAAAAATTTACGGACGGACACCGCCATACCATAATATGTCCCGTCATAAGACGGGCGTATACAAATCCTAATTGGAAAGCATATTAAAACTAAATATCATCATAATAAATTCTATTAGTCAAAAACTGGGGGAGATCTCCGGACAAGACTTCAATGCCGAAAATTAACAAAGGGCAATAACCATTTAAAAAATTGTGAAAATCAAAATTCTTATTTTAAAAAAAAAGTTTCTAAAAGATAGGTCAAAAATTGAGCAAGGAGATCTCCAGACAAAATATGCTGCTGGCCGATGCCATAATAATACGTCTGGTCAAATGTTTTGACGCACGTATAAAAAGGAGGAAGAAAGCAATAGTTTAATGTCAGGGAAACCAAAGGCAGAATACATTTTAACACTCATCACATTGAATATTAAACGAGTGGTATAGTCTCTTGAACAAATTGTCCTTTCATTCATTTAATCAACATAAAGTACTAGGTGAAAATTCAAAGTGACCATTACTATGTATATAAATTCCATGCTGTATTCCTAGCCCTAGAAAATACAATTTTCCATTGATTTTGATGGGACTTCACACAAATGTCAAGCCCTGAAATCTCATCAAATGAGTTAATGCATACTAATGTAATTTATTTTGTAATTAATGTAACCAGGAATTTAAGCCATACAGGCCCACTAGGACTTTTGTATCATTCTTATTTTGCAAATTTGATTAGAATTAGAACTAAGGAATACACAGTAATGACAAGCAAATGTTAACTTATATTTTTCTTCTCTCTGAGCCTCGTGTATGTTACATCAGGATATTGCCAGGTTTGTTTGTCATACATATTGGTTACATAATCTATCGTGAGTCACAAATATTGCCCAAGGGGTCATCGAGTGAACAAGTGGCATATATTTCTGACAGAGTTGTTTTCAAGGACTGAGACAATATGGTTTATTGACATGTACTTTAATACAATACAAAAGGCCTTGTATCCCTCAACATCTTTCCACTTATATATCATAATCATAACCTTTATTAAGCAATAGGCATACATGCCTTTGTGCAGCATAACCAACATACATAATTGAATGGTAACAGTTACAAATGGTACATTTTCAGCTCATGGACATTGTGATGTAGCCAATTTAGCATTTACATATATCTAAATAATATAGGTATATCCACCTAGGTACAGGGACGCATGTCATTTAAGTTTATAGGACATTGATGTCTAGATCCACCTGCACTGCATTATAATGTTTAATCATAAACCTGAGTTCCCCTTATATTAACAAAACACATATAAAGTTCTGTCAATGTCAAAATTTTCGAATGCAGAGAGGTGCCCCAACTCTACTTAAAAATGGAATTATGACAGACGTACACTACAACAACCCACGACGTACACTACAACAACCCACGACGTACGACCAAGTGAGCCCCAAGCATCTGCCATGCCACGTCAGGCAACACAGAAAACAAATAATACGACTATCTAACAAATTCTGGTATTCATTTGTTTCAGATCTTATAAATTTCCAAACAACATTTGCCAGTGTCTGAGGATCCAGAAACATCCACTTCATCCTAACCTATTCACCTCAGCCATTAAACAACAAATTAGTTCTTCTTTCATTAGCTTTAAAAACAAAGTTTGCTAAATTTTTAATAACACCATATATATATATTTACATGTGCCAAAGTTCAGTGTGTAGATAAATGCATCTGTGACTTTTCGGAATACCCAACTTGTGTTGTTTGGTAAAATAATAATGATAATTAAAAGATATAAGTTCAAGATATGTGTATGCACATTCAGAATTAAGTAAAGTTCAAAGTAGGCCTCTCCTGCAGTCACAAGAACAAGTTAACACAGTAGAAAATTGTTAATTCACAATACATAGTCAGTTACTGAGTGATTTTTGAAACACTGAGCAGGACAATCCTAGTAGTATTCTCAGAGAGACAACATATTCAGAATTAAGTATGTGTCAACATACATGCGTTCTACAGTGGAAGCTTTCTACAATATTATAGTATCACTATCAGGTTAAAGGCACAATCATGATCAGCTATGACTTTTAGCACTTTCCAAATCCCATGCACTCCTTCAAAGCCCTGATCAACAGATCTCGCGAAGTGTCTGGATCAGTACCACGAGGTAAGCTTAAAGTCAAAGCAGATGTAGAGGAAAATGGCATCCTGACAGATCCTTCCTCTTGATCATAAAATTGTATTTCAATGGAACTCCCAAACCCAGCTGGAGGGATCTTTTCAGCTCCTTTTATGAAAATCAGAAGGTCTCCAAACCTCACAGGAACAGCACTTTTTGCAATAGAAGAATGTATATATCAATTTTTTTATTTGCCATGTTACAAAACACTAATTTCCTATAGAATTATGAGTAATGGGCCTATTGCCCTTTCTGTCAAATTCCAGGGAATATGCTTGAGTTGTAATTCCCTAATACCAACGTATTCCTATTCACAAGCAAACTTAGCAAAGGAGCATAACAGAAGATAACATCAATAGACCGACAAATAGGCAGACAACCTAATTGCAATTTAACATTGTTGCAGGGATATAAAACATTGTGTCATATATAAATTTATCATATGAATACCGTGTTATGCAGTGTTATACAGCCATCACATAAATTATGTTTATGTAACGTGTGTAATATCACTCCGGAAATGACGTCACAATTGAATAGGAACAATCAATGTGATGTCATGTAATTGTGAAGCGGACGCAATTTTCATCGTTTCAGAGGCGGCCAAGTGCAAAATATTCACAAGATCACAATTATACAGTTTACTTTATTGTATGTTAAAAAGTATTCATTTCCCTTCATGTCAGATTTATGATACTCAGTTTGGATTTTTTCATATTTGCTCGCCTCTAATCCAAAACTTGTTGGATCATCAATCTAATATGAAGGGGAAACTTATGATAGATCCACTATATATATATAATATTGGTCAACATGTTTCATTGATTATCATATATCATAATCAATGAAATGTCCTTCCTTCCATCTGTCTGAAGAGTTTGTCCAGGGCATTATCTTCTATACTATTTCACCTGGAGTAACCAGATTTGGTGTGCAAGTGTATCTTGGGATGGCAGAGTGCGGAGTGAAAAAAGTAGGTCACTGTTACCTAGGGTTTGACCTTTGAACTTAAACCTTAGAAAAAGTTTGCCCAGTGCATATCTTCTATACTATTTCATCTGTAGTAACCAAGTACATCTTGTGATGATAGAGTTCTTTACAGTAGGTTGATCCTGAACGGTGTACAGCTTAGTTATTGTTAACAGAAAAAATCATTACCGGTGGGGGGACTATGGATTACCATTACCGGTGGGGGGACTATGGATTACCATACCGGTCGGGGGACTATGGATTGCCATTACCGGTGGGGGGACTATGGATTGCCATTACCGGTGGGGGGACTATGGATTGCCATTACCGGTGGGGGACTAAAACATTGAATTGCCATTACCGGTGGGGACTACGGATTGCCATTAACGGTGGGGGACTATGGATTGCCATTACCGGTGGGGGACTATGGATTGCCATAACCGGTGGGGGACTAAAACATTGGATTGCCATTACCGGTGGGGGACTAAAACATTGGATTGCCATTACCGGTGGGGGACTAAAACATTGGATTGCCATTACCTGTGGGGGACTATGGATTGCCATTACCGGTAGGGGACTATGGATTGCCATTACCGGTGGGGGGACTATGGATTGCCATTAACGGTGGGGGACTATGGATTGCCATTACCGGAAGGGGACTATGGATTGCCATTACCGGTGAGGGACTATGGATTGCCATTACCGGGGGGGGGGGGGGGACTATGGATTGCTATTACCGGTGGGGGGACTATGGATTGCCATTACCGGTGAGGGACTATGGATTGCCATTACCGGTGGGGGACTACGGATTGCCATTACCGGTGGGGGGACTATGGATTGCCATTACCGGTTGGGGGACTATGGATTGCCATTACCGGTTGGGGACTATGGATTGCCATTACCGGTAGGGGACTATGGATTGCCATTACCGGTGGGGGACTATGGATTGCCATTAACGGTGGGGGACTATGGATTGCCATTACCGGTGGGGGGGACTATGGATTGCCATTACCAGTGGGGGACTATGGATTGTTATTAACGGTGGGGGACTAAAACATTGGATTGCCATTACCGGTGGGGGACTATGGGGGACGATGGATTGCCATTACCGGTGGGGGACTATGGGGGACTATGGATTGCCATTACCGGTAGGGGACTATGGATTGCCATTACCGGTGGGGTACTATGGATTGCCATTACCGGTGGGGGACTATGGATTGCCATTACCGGTGGGGGGGACTATGGATTGCCATTACCAGTGGGGGACTATGGATTGTTATTAACGGTGGGGGACTAAAACATTGGATTGCCATTACCGGTGGGGGACTATGGGGGACGATGGATTGCCATTACCGGTGGGGGACTATGGGGGACTATGGATTGCCATTACCGGTAGGGGACTATGGATTGCCATTACCGGTGGGGTACTATGGATTGCCATTACCGGTGGGGGACTATGGATTGCCATTACCGGTGGGGGGGACTATGGATTGCCATTACCAGTGGGGGACTATGGATTGTTATTAACGGTGGGGGACTAAAACATTGGATTGCCATTACCGGTGGGGGACTATGGGGGACGATGGATTGCCATTACCGGTGGGGGACTATGGGGGACTATGGATTGCCATTACCGGTAGGGGACTATGGATTGCCATTACCGGTGGGGTACTATGGATTGCCATTACCGGTGGGGGACTATGGATTGCCATTACCGGTGGGGGGGACTATGGATTGCCATTACCAGTGGGGGACTATGGATTGTTATTAACGGTGGGGGACTAAAACATTGGATTGCCATTACCGGTGGGGGACTATGGGGGACGATGGATTGCCATTACCGGTGGGGGACTATGGGGGACTATGGATTGCCATTACCGGTAGGGGACTATGGATTGCCATTACCGGTGGGGTACTATGGATTGCCATTACCGGTGGGGGACTATGGATTGCCATTACCGGTGGGGGGGACTATGGATTGCCATTACCAGTGGGGGACTATGGATTGCTATTAACGGTGGGGGACTAAAACATTGGATTGCCATTACCGGTGGGGGACTATGGGGGACGATGGATTGCCATTACCGGTGGGGGACTATGGGGGACTATGGATTGCCATTACCGGTAGGGGACTATGGATTGCCATTACCGGTGGGGGACTATGGATTGCCATTACCGGTGGGGGACTATGGATTGCCATTACCGGTGGGGGACTATGGATTGCCATTACCGGTGGGGGACTATGGATTGCCATTACCGGTGGGGGACTATGGATTGCCATTACCGGTGGGGGACTATGGATTGCCATTACCGGTGGGGGACTATGGATTGCCATTACCGGTGGGGGACTATGGATTGCCATTACCGGTGGGGGACTATGGATTGCCATTACCGGTGGGGGACTATGGGGGACTATGGATTGCCATTACCGGTAGGGGACTATAGATTGCCATTACCGATGGGGGACTATGGGGGACTATGGATTGCCATTACCGGTGGGGGACTATGGGGGACTATGGATTGCCATTACCGGTAGGGGACTATAGATTGCCATTACCGATGGGGGACTATGGGGGACTATGGATTGCCATTACCGGTGGGGGACTATGGGGGACTATGGATTGCCATTACCGGTAGGGGACTATAGATTGCCATTACCGATGGGGGACTATGGGGGACTATGGATTGCCATTACCGGTGGGGGGACTATGGATTGACATTACCGGTGGGGGACTATGGATTGCCATTACCGGTGGGGGACTATGGATTGCCCTGCAATACTTTGTCTTGTTTTCTCTAAGTCCTTACCCTCAATGTCCTGAAGGAACAGTTCAAACGCATATTTTGTACCTCCTCCCTCCCCCTTCTGTTGCTGCCTTCAACACTCCACTTATCCTCGCACTCCTCAAGGAATTTTTCCTTGGTTAGCGCCTCTCCAACCTTGCAGAAGAGGTCTTCCCATTTGTAAGGGTCCCTCTTCATCTCTGTTGTCAACCCACACACGTCATCCATCCCTCTAGCAAACTGTTGAATTTCAGAAGCTGTTCTGGAAGTAAATATCCAGTAATAGTATTAACTTTAACTTATTTCATTGACATAAAGTTAAGTTTTGTGTGACTTAATAGTTGAAAAAAATATTTGAAGGGACAGGTATATTCAGTATTAAAAACATGTATGTATACTTAAATTGTTTCCAAGAAAAATGTCCAGAACTTTTTGGATTAATGAGTACAAATTTATAAACAGGTATAGTAATTGACATCTTGGGCTGCCAACAAACTGACCAAGGGATGTAGACATGTAGTATAGGTCTTGATTGGACTACACAGCCCAAACTAGCTTAGCAGCCCAATCTGTCATACTCTCCCAATCTAATTCAATATCATACCTGTAGAAAATTGTTTGCTTTACCAAGGCATGGATGCTTTTTGGAATATCTGCAATCTTCAGATGCCAACAGTTATTAACTCCCTGGTCCAGCATCCAGTCCCCATGCTCCGAAAGGAAAATGTCTCTGCTTATCTTTAGAGTCTACTTTTTTAAGCTATTGAAATCAAACCAATTCATAAATGTACATATGTATATTAAATCTCCATTTGGCCTTAATAAAATGCATATGGTCACCTCACAATCAATTGGCAATTTTGGAAACAAGTGATAGTTACTACATGTAGGAATTAAATGTGCATTAAGACATGGTTGCCCCAACAGGTATTTATTTTCAACAAGAGGCCCATGGGCCTTAACGGTCACCTGAGTCTATAGTATTTATTTTTGTTGTTGAAATATGTACCAATTTGAGTAAAAAATAGTATAATGTTAACTTAACTTTGTCAGGACCATGAGCTGATCATTCCTAGACCAATTTTAAGTGAGATCGGCCTATTAGAACTTAGTAGCAAAATAGCGGCCATGGCAGCCAAATTGTATTTCTGATTGACCCGAAAAATAACAACACTTTGTCAGGACCATGATTCGATCATTCCTACAAAGTTTCAGTTCAATCGGCCAAGTAGATCTTTACTTTAAGTTTGAAATAGTTTACCAAAATGGCAGCTGTGGTGGCCATATTGGATTTCTGATCGACCTGAAAAATAACAACACTTTGTCAGGACCATGAGTCAATCATTCCTACAAAGTTTCAGTTCAATCGGCCTAGCAGAACTTGACTTTAAGTTTGAAATATGTTTTCAAAATGGTGGCCGTGGCGGCCATATTGGATTTATGATTGACCTGAAAAATAACAACACTTTGTCAGGACCATGAGTCGATCATTCCTACAAACTTTAAGTTCAATCGGTCCAGCAGAACTTGACTTTAAGTTTGAAATAGGTTTTCAAAATGGCGGCCGTGGTGGCCATATTGGATTTCTGATCGACCCAAAAAATAACAACACTTTGTCAGGACCATGAGGCGATCATTCCTACCAACTTTCAGTTCAATCGGTCCAGCAGAACTTGACTTTAAGTTTGAAATAGGTTTTCAAAATGGTGGCCGTGGCGGCCATATTGGATTTCTGATCGACCCGAAAAATAACAACACTTTGTCAGGACCATGAGACGATCATTCCTACCAACTTTCAGTTCAATCGGTCCAGCAGAACTTGACTTTAAGTTTGAAATGTAAAATGTTAACGGACGACGGACGACGTACGACGGACGACGACGGACGAAAACGGATAGCAATAGGTCACTTGAGCTAAAGCTCAGGTGACCTAAAAATGGTGACCTTGAGTGCATGAAGCTGAAAGTCACAAACATGTCCAAGATACCCAAGTACTGAACCTTTAATGTGAAAAGTTTATATCAAACAATGAAGGACACATTGCAAGCATTAGGTCACCTACTTTTTTTATAGAAAGGCTGGATTAGCTCTGAAGAATTTTACGTACTTGTTGAAGAATATTCCTGATATCAGTTTCTGGAATCAGTTGGAGATCAAATTCTTGGAGATCAGGTTCTAGACCTGTCATCATCCTAAAAACATCTCTGTTGAGAAAACCCATCGCTGGTCCATCCTGTGCCAGGCTCATTCCAACCAATTTTCCAGACAGGCGGTAGCATCCATCCTGCAAAGCCTCAAGGTTGTGTCTGAACACTTTCTGGTCATCAGCACCCTCAAACAGGCCCGACTTCTCTGATAATTCATGAATTGCAAGTCTGTAATATTAGCAGGAGAAAGGAACACTTAAGATCGAGAAATTTATAAATGATTTAACAAAAATATGTTTCCCCATCATACGAAGGTGATTTAAAGGTTCCAACTTAACCAGTTTGCAATTATCAAATAGATGCAAGTTTTCCTGATATTGTTTCAACATGTGTTAAGAAGTAGACCAAAATTTCTTTTTAATTTGTTCATATATTATTGTGATATTGAGCAATAAACATGACATGTGCCAATGGTGTTAGTGTTGGCTTTTCTTCTAAAACTGAGTACTGCGCTGTTATCCGTTATATGTTTTTGAAGCAAAAAACACGAAGAGATCGAAATACAAGCCAAACTTAATGATATTTATGGGACTTCTGTCTCATCTGCCACACAAGTTAAATTTTGGGCATCAGAATTTGAACAAGGTAGAACAAATCTTGAAGATGCAGACTGTGGTCAGCTGTTGCCATTTTGGGACAGATGATGATGTTGTTTTGTTTGTTTGGGGGTTAACGTCCTCGCAACAGCGAAGGACATATGAAGATGGTGAGTTGAAAGCAGGCATTGAGGACTGAATTCTTTAAATCTGGTTTGAATGCTCTGGAACATCGGTATAAGTGTATACTGTTGGAGTGAAATTATGTAGAAAAAGAAGAAATCGATCTCTTCAGAAGTAGTTCAGGCTGGACACTTTTTGAATCACCCTCGTATTAACCACATATTTGCTGATTTGGTTGGATGTGCAAAATTTGGAAGGTAAATATTAAATTATTAATATGCTTTAACTTTAGGAGTCCCAACAATATTTTACTGAAAATTTTGAACTGATCTGACCTTTGACATAGAGGTGGAGGTCACAGTGCACTCAATGCCTTCTACTGGTGATGCAGATGTAATTCAAGTTTCATCAAAATATCTTTCATTTCAAAGGGAGACTCAACCAGAACACCGACACTGACAGGTCAGCAAGGGTCCTGCCATGAGCTTGACTGTGCACCCCATGGTCTATTTTTAGTCAGTGACTTTGACCTTGAACTTAGAATTTAAACTCCTATTGCACATCTACATATCAGTGTATCACCATATGCCAAATTTCAGAAAGATTATCATATTGGTCCCAATGATCTATTTTTAGTAACAGTGACCCTGACCTTAGAAATGTTTAACCCCAACATCAACATATCGCAGTGTATCACCATGTTTAATTGAAAAAAGATTAGGATTCTGGATTCTGCGATAATCTCAGAAAACGAAAGTGTGGACAGACTGACGGACAGACTAATCAGGGACACTGTTTTTTGTACCCATTTCAAGACAACTTAGCATGCTGGTACAATGTTTACATAGTTTTGAGGGTATACTAACTTGAGTCTTGGCTTTTAAAGGTTAGAGCATCACTATAATCTTAAGAATGAGCCTACCTGAAAAATTCCCTCCTTGGACCTCCATGGTCCATTCCAATTTCCCCACTGAACTTAACGTAAAGTTTGCACTTAACGTCAAAATGGGGACGTTTAAGAGCCCTAAAGGCAGACTCAAGGACTCTCTTCCAGTAGACAATTATTTCCTGTTTATCAAACTTATTTATTTTCTTTTGAAATGCCTCAAGCAGAGATTTAATGTCTGCATTGCTGGATGTTCTGAAATGGGAATGGAAAATATAGTTAAAATTCAGCTAAAACAGCTCTACACATTACATCTCCAGCACACACACATGCATACGCACATAGGGAGATATTAGCCAGCACACACACAGGCATACACACATAGGGAGATATTAGCCAGCACACACAGAGGCATACACACATAGGGAGATATTAGCCAGCACACACACAGGCATACACACATAGGGAGATATTAGCCAGCACACACACAGTCATATACACATAGGGAGATATTAGCCAGCACACACACAGGCATACACACATAGGGAGATATTAGCCAGCACACACAGAGGCATACACACATAGGGAGATATTAGCCAGCACACACACAGGCATATACACTTAGGGAGATATTAGCCAGCACACACACAGGCATACACACATAGGGAGATATTAGCTAGGTGGCATAGGACAAGTAGTTAGCCATGATAAGGCAGCTCCTGCGAATTCCTCAAAATTGTATTGATTAATGTATATGCTAATTGTATAACTATGTCCTGTAAAGCACTTTAGAGTAGCTTATGTTAGCTAGATAGGGCACTATATCAAATGCTGTATATTATTATTTATTATTATAAAATGTTTGACTGTAAGTGGTTGATCGCAAGGAACCTTGTCTGATTTCTACTTACCATAATAATAAATAATAATATACTAGTCTGATATCTCAGTCTAAAAAAAATAAGAACAACTATTATATATATAAATGAAGTCTGCATGTCCACTGAACATATGTTTGGTTACAATATGTAGCTACATGTAGACTAACCTAGTACTGGAGATTACAGGTTTGAAGCTTGCATCCATAACTTGTTCTAGCTCCTCATCTTCAGAGTCAATGACCTCTATCAAGTCAATATCTTGAGGAGTAGTAGATGATGCTTGTCTAGCAAAACAAAAAAGATGTGTTGAGAAACAATATGCCCCCGAGGGATTGCCATTCGCATATTTGTTACAGTTCAAACAATAAGGCAAATGTCTCCTTTAATAACGTTTGACCTTGACCTAAGGTGAAAGGTGAAGGTCACAGGTCAACATATGTGATATCAATGGAAAGGTCTTGTCACAAGGAATACACATGCCAAATATAAAACCCCTATGTCTTATAGTTCAAAAGATATGGCGAAGGTTAAAGTTTCGGACAGACAGACGGACAGACGAACAGACGGACGGACGGACAAACAGACAGACCAAAAACAATATGCCCCCCGATCTTAGATCTCGGGGGCATAAAAATAAAAAACAAGGCAATGCAAAGCTATGTGAAACGATTTTCGCAAGTTTTAGACCCGAAAAGCTCGGTAACAGTAAATAATATATTTTTGGCTATCTGTTTCCATGGTAACAGGAAAAATATTGAAAATTATGATTCCCCAATAGCAATTGGCACAACTAGGGCACTAGCCTGATCTATGTACAAAGTTTTGTAGAGATATGTGTAACGGTTTTTGAGTTGTAGCCCGGAAAAGCTCAGAAACAGTAAATTTAGTATATTTGGCCATCATTGGCATCAAATATTAAAACTGATTTAGTATAAGAAATGGTAGGCAAATTTGGATTTAACCTCATCTCCCTCGTACAATCACATTGTATCTATGTAATACCCCTTATCATAATAAATCAAGTTTTTTAGGAGCATGCAAATGCAGTAATGCATGTAATGAAATATCATTTGCTGCCACTTTTATACATGTATATACTATAGATATATAAATCAATGAAGAAGTTACAAGTGTAGACAATATAAGGTTGTTAAATGTTTGGAGCGATCTGACGTTTCTTCATTAAGACACATAAACAGGAAATCGCGGAAAATTGAAAGAAAACAAAACTGATATTAAAAACAACAAGGACATAGTCATTCAGATCCCCCGCAGAGGACAAGCTACGCAGAAACACCCTAATAGTAAAAGGCACTACTAGATAACTTGATGGATGTTAGATAGAAAGGTTTGTAAAGTTACCTTGACTAGTTTTTGAGATATTCTCTGGAAACACGAAATTTTGCATTTTGGCTATTTGTTTCCATGGTAACAGGAAAAGTATCGGAAATGAAAACTCCCTAATACAAAAAGGCACCACTAGACTGCTGGACTGATGTGTATGTAAAGTTACCTTGAACAGTTTACGAGATCATATGATCCAGAAACACAACCCCAGACTGACCGATGGACGGACATCTGAACACCCAGACGGACACTCCTCATTACATAATATGCCCTGTTAAATTTTTGACAGGCATATAGATATACCGGGAAAACTGGAGTGTGAAGATGGATGCTGAATCTGGGAAGTAAATATGTCATGTGAATGATTCTATTGATATATAACGACGATATATTATCAAATTCAGTCAGCTCATTTCGTCCATTCTTTCTAAGAAAGAAGGGATGAAATGGTGAAAGTGTACAACACACTGAGCGACAGACAATGCATCCACTAAATCTGACAGTGATGTATGTCAAGTCTCATACACTGACATGTAGTAGCAAGCAGTCAACATAACAATGAACAAGTTTGTCAAATAAACGCCAGGAAGGAACAAATGCATATCATTGGTTCATACCTTGAGGGTAGTGGGTTTATAGGTTGTGATCCTTAAAATGAAATTGAGCTAACATTGCTCTGGTAGTGGTACGTCCAACCATCATAGGATTCTGAAAAATAAAGATGAAACAAGAGCAGAGAGCTGTTACAAGTACAGTACTGACCACTAGGTA